CTCTCTGATGCATAACAAGTGTTGCACATACTGTACCTATTGCCAAAAATCCCACAACACAACCCAACAAATCTGTCTTTGAAAAAGTACAGCTAGAACCACCTTTGAAAATGAGGATGGCAAGCCTTTGTCTCACAGGCTTTGCATAAGTTATCAGGAGGGAGCAGTCCGCGGAGAACATTACACTTGATACAGTACAAGTCTCAGCAAAAGAGAGGAAGACTCTCAATGAGATTGACTGACATAGTGCCTGCAAAAATGGGTTCAAACACAGCAACAGCTGTGAGGATGGTACAGGGCTACGGCTGTTGTTTGGTGACTTTAGCCAAGTATGATTCATAGAGACCCTATGAACAACAGACCTGAACTCTGTCCTAACTTGTGTCATCCTCATCATTTCTGACATACTTGAGGCCACTGCTGTACTCAGTGCATCAGTCCATCTCATAAGGGTCTTCCTCTCATTCACTTACCCTCTACCTTCCCAAATATCACATTCCTTTCCAAGGAATAGCCTCTCCTAATAGCATGTCCAAAGTATGTGAGACAAAGCTTTGTCGTCTTTGCCTCCAAGGAGCATTCTGGCTGCATTTTATCTAAGACAGATCTGTTGGCAGTCCATGGGATATTCAGCACTCTAACACTACAGCTCAAAGGCATCAATTCTCTTTCTGTCTTCCTCAGTCATTGTCCAGGTTTCAAATGCATAGAAAATGACGGGAAAAAAAATCATGGTCTGAATCAGGTGCACTTTAGTTTTCACACTGACATCATTGCTCCTCAGTAACTTGGTGAGAACCTTGACTGCAGATCTTCCCACCACACCATGCTCCTCACTCTCCTGACTGCGGGGACTCGGTAATGTTTTGTTCTTGTTGCTATGAGTTGTTACCGATTCCATAGCAACTAGTAAGTGTCTTTAGTACGGTCAAGCCCTTCCGCGAGTCTCCAAAACCACAGTAATTTCATCTAAGAAGAATCCAAGATGAATCTATTTTGTACTTGAACGGGGAAGCATCACTAGACTAGTTCAATGTCTCATCCTAAACAATTTTTGCTAAATCTGACAACAGCATTTTTTACCAAATTAATTTGATATTTCAGATTCTACTCTTTAGTCCTCCTTTTTAAAAACAAATACATTACAAGGTTTTTTGTTTCATTGGAGTTTGCTGTTTATTCCTATTCACACCCTGTGACCACTGTACTATATGGTTCCTTATGAAATATTCTCAGGTATGGAGACAGGAAGCATACACATGTGTCTCTAACAGGACATTTGCACTATTTTAGATGTATGATATGAAGTTAGCTTGTTTTAGGGCTGTGACAAGGGCTTTTCAGAATATCACTGCAAAAACTTTACTGCCCTCAGGTACAAAACTGTCCGAACTTTGGGTCTGTGTTGCTTCCACTACAATCACAGTTTCATATGCAGACAGCAACACAAGGATCTTTTCCCACTATTCCAGTCACTGCAGTGTTACAGGCTTTTCACATCTAACCTTAGTTGCCAAAGAACTTTCTTGAGCTGACCCTGGTGTCACGAAACTGAATTGACCGGCTCTTTCTAGAGAATATCCCTTTCATCCTTTCTGCTTGTCCCCTCTGATGGGAATTTCTTCAGGTACTTTCAAAATTTGAAAGCCTGGCACTAATCTTTGGCCCTGCAGCATTGTTGTTTGGTGTTTTGTTTTTTCTTCAGTCCCATATTAACTATAGCACTGTGGAGCAGTCTCATTACCAATCCGAGGAAGTTCTGCAGGTGAAGGCTCAAGCTGGTGTGTCCTGCAGAGAAGTGGAGACCCCCCACGCATACTTTTATCAAGTCTCTGCCTGGGCTGCCACTCATTATTTGTGCATGTACTTGCCACTTCCCTCCCAGGTTTTTATTTTATGAAGAACGTCCTCAGGTCTGTTTCCCTCTCTGCACCCGTCTGCTTGCTCCAACAGAATGTGAGGTACTTCCAGCAGAGTGGATGCCTGGATCTCGGTTACCAATCTAACAGAGTTTACAGATTCCAGGGCAAATTCTTGCTGTCCACCCTCAGTGTTTGAAAAGAGAATGTGATATTTATGTCCACAGAGCTTTTCTCACCTTACTTTCAACTTAAGGTCCTTCAATTTCTTTAAAACAGGGAACCTTGTGGCAGACCTATCTAAATTTTTAGATTCAACTTTTAAGCTGACCTATTTTGTGTGGCTCCAGATTCAGTTTTAACTTTGATGTTAACATCTGCAAAGTGCTTTGAGATGCTTTCTGGGCAGACACAATGCATACCATCTGATTGATGGTTCAATCAATGAGTGGCCCTTCCCCCTGTTACTCAAAGTACTTAGCTGAGTGCTACAAATGCATCTTAGGCCACGTATCTAAGGTCGTCATTAGCACAATAAGTTCTACCAACCTTGGGAAATAAAGATTAGAAGCTACATTTTAAGGAAGATGAACTTTTTCTTTACTGCTCCTAAAGCACACTTAATGATACAAATACATTATGTGATATATATTTATATGTATCTATCTCATTTACACCGACACAATAATCATATACAATAATATCAGAAGGCATATATTAAGAAAATCATAAGAATTAATAGTTCATGTTTGCCATAATTGGCAACAATACACCATTTCAACTTCAATATAAAATTCCTATGAAATACCAATCAAGAGTTGTGTAGTGAAAATGTTGACTGCACTAATCCTTAACTGTTCAAGGTAATGACTGAGAACTGTAGTGCCGAGAATCTAAAAGCAGCAGAAAATGCAACAAGTTTAAAACTTTATTTCAGTGTTGCATTTTACATGAAACAAAACAGAATCTAAGAGATACTGTTGTTGTTATGTGCCATCAAGTTGCCCGCAACTCATAGCAACCCTCCGTAAAACAGCTCTGAAACCTGCTCTATCCTGAGCCAA